GGTGTTGTGTCCATCTACAACTAAAAAATTAAAAAAAAAAAAAGTGAAGTCTAGCCAGGTAGAGAATGCCTACAATCCCAGCTACTCAGGAGGCTGAGACAGAAGGATTATAAATTCAAGATCCTGTTTCAAAATAAAAAATAAAAAGGGCTTGGGATGTGGCTCAGTAGTCAAGTGCCCCTGGGTTTAATCTCCACTATAGATAGATACATAAATAAACAAACAAAGATTTTCAAAAATCCACAATTAATAACTATGGGGTAACGGCGCAAGGGGCAAAATTGAGACATATGCAGTCGAGGGGGAGAAATAAAGAATGTCCACATGTTGCTGCCCCTTCCAATGCTTTATTCACTCAAATTGCTCAATACAATTTCACTCTATAGGTTCTTTTTTTAAATATTTATTTTTTAGTTTTAGGTGGACACAATATCTTTATTTTACATTTATGTGTGGCTGAGGATTGAACCCAGTGCCTCGTGCATGCTAGACAAGCGCTCTACCACTGAGCCACAACCCCAGCCCTCTATAGGTTCTTTTTTTTTTTTTTAATATTTTTTCCAGTTGTAGATGGGCACAATATCTTTATTTATTTCTTTTTAAGTGATGCTGAGTATTTAATCCAGTGCCTCACGCAGGTGCTCTACAACAGAGCCGCAGCTCCAGCCCCACTCTATAGGTTCTTAATCAAGAAAATTACAATCCTTAATGCTAGGCACTACAATAGACTTAATCAATTCACAGCAAACAATTCTAGATTAATTAATTCATAGCAAACAATTCTAGATTAATCCTAAGCACTGCAAACACACCAACCAGTTGAGGAGAGGGTCAGGGTCTTAGGGAGAAATTGCGGCTCTCACCAGGGTCCAGATGAGGCAGTAGAGTTTGAGAGTGGTTAGGATCAATGCAGAGGATCAGGCAAATGATGACAATTGATGGGATGTCAGTCCAGGTCCTCATCAGGCCTTCCAGCTCAAGTGCATCCTTGTTTCAGCTGACTGTATCCATGTTCATTAGCTCTATAATTTATAGTAAATTGGGGGGCTTTTGACCCCCCTTTCAATTCTTATCAGCTACCACCAGATTTCTCAATGGCATCATTTACTCTGGGGTTAAAACATCTGCTCTGGTGGTCTCCACCCTGATTTTCTTGTTTTTCCCTCTTATCAGGTGAGGACAGCCTGCCAGAGGCATCACTCTGCTTATCAGTGTTATAGTTAAACTATAACACTGCCGGGGTTTCATAAATTGACTTCCAGACCACTCATGAATAATCAAATCAAGCCTTTATTGAAGCACACTGGTGGCGACTGACCAGTCACCGGTGGCGACTGTTCCCCAATCAGCCCCGAACAATTGCAAGGGCGCTCCTTATAAGCCTGAAAACTGCAAAAGGGACATTTGGGGGTCTAGCCAATGCAAACAAGCCAAGTTACAAAAGCGGGAGAGTGCAGTCAGGTGGAGGGATGGTTAGCCAATCACAATTAGCCCAGTTACCCCAGTTACAGAAACAGAGCCCTGTTACCCTAGTTATAGAAACAGTGCCGCATTAGGTAGTTCTGTGTTCTTAAAGGTTTCTATAGCAAAAGGAAAAGAACATCTTGCCTCAGTCATGACCCTTCTACTTGGCATGGTGGTTTTGCAAAATGGAGTCACTTTGGTTTGACTATCACATCAGGGTTAGAGGAAGTGACTTGTTTATGTCTGAGGGCCTTCTGGAGGGCTCTATTAGATGTGCCTAGTGGGACTACAGGTTTCAAACTGGAGTTTTTAAAATGGAATTGCTTAGGCTCAGGCCTAAGGCCATCCTCACAGGTAACTAGACAGAACCTGAATTAGGTGTATGGTTGAGTTTAGCCAAAGAGAAGCCACTAGCAAGTTACCGTAGGACAAGAGTATAATGACAAAGGAAACCTGTTGAATTGGGTGTGATGGTGCATGCCTGTAATCCCAGTGGCTCAGGGGGCTGAGTGTAAGCCTTTAGTCCTGAGCCTAAGCAACTCCATTTTAAAACTCCATTTTGAAACCTGCAGTCTCATCAGGTATACCTACCGGAGCCCTCCTGTATGGCCCTCAGGCCCAAACAGGTCACTTCCCCCAACCCTGACAAACTCAAGAGTGAAGTCTCTGTCATATTGCTCTCATCTGATAAGGGGGAAAGGCAAGAATATCAGGGTGGGGACCGCCAGACCAGATGTTTTAACCCCAGGGTAAATGATGTAACTCAGAGACCCAGTGGCAGCTGATAGGGATTGAAAGGGTGGTCAGAAGCTCCAAAATTTATATAAATGATGGAGCAAATGAACATTTATCCAGCCGACACTGATGCCCTCATACCTGAGAGCCTGATGAGGACCTGGACTGACATCCCAACTCTTCTTATCGTTTACCTGATCCTCTGCATTTTCCTCACCGCTCTCAAACACTACAGCCACATGTTGACCCTGGTGAGAGCTGCAACTTCTCCCTATGACCCTCTCCTCCACTGGAATTGTCAGCTCCACCCTAGGAGAAGCCTGTCTTGGTCCCTGATCTGATCACCACAGTCTGAGTGAGTGTGCATCTGCTGGACTTAAAGCCTAAGACTTTAAGGCTTGAGCTTAGCATCCAGAGGGAATGTCTGTCATGAGCCTGTCATGATTAAGTGTGTTTGCAGTGCTTAGAATTAATCTAGAATTGTTTGCTGTGAATTGATCATGTCTATTGCAGTGCCTAGTATTAAGGATTGTCATTTTCTTGATTAAGAACCTATAGAGTGAAATTGTATTGAGTGATTTGAGTGAATAAAGCATTCACAAAGGCAGAAGTGTGTGGACATTCTTTATTTATCTCCCTTGACTGCCTAAGTCACACCTTTTTGCCATCGTGACACTGAAGCAAGATGATCTTGAATTCAAAGCCAGCCCTGGCAACTTAGCAAGGCCCTAGGCAACTCAGTGAGACCATGTCTCTAAATAAAATACAAAAAAGGGGTGAGGATGTGGCTTGGTAGTTAAGCACCCCTGGGTTTGAGCTCCAATTAAAAAAAAAAAAGGAAACCTGTTGAATGTTTATGGAGAAATGTCTGGGCTTTTAAATTTTGGTTCCACCTTAACGAGTCCAGGTCCAGATAAGCATGTGGTTGATGTTGGTTATATGCATCTAGGTCCCAAGTTCATCATGGACAAGTTCCTCAGCAGCTGAAGTGAAGGGCAGAGTTCTGTGTAACTTCACCAAGTTCATTCCCATCTCAAAGCCTTTTTGCTTTCTGTTCCCACTCCCAGATGCTTTTTCCTTTCAGATTTTCACATGCCTAACTCTTTTTCATATTTGTGTCTTGGCTTATACGTCACGTCCTCAGAGGTCTGCCCTGAGTGTTATAGCTAAAGTGACCCCAAGCCATTTGCTTTAACATCTCCCCATTTTATTTCCTTTATATCATTTACTACTATTTGAATTATCATCTCCCTGTATTTTCTTCCTTGTCAGCTCCCTATGAGGTCAGAAGCCATGTATTTCCTGACTCTGTCTACTGAAAGGCCTAGAAGTTACGACAACCCTGTGACAATAAGCACACCTTGCATGGAGATCTTGGTTTCTCCAATAAAGGGAACCATGGCTCCTAGAAGAAATGACTGACTCCAGAGCTGGAATAAGGACAGTGCAGGGATCCCATTAACACCAATCCTGCTGGGACGTGGAGATCAAGTACCTCCTGACATCCTGGACTGAGAAGGGCACAACAGTACTTCTGTGTATTCTGACCCCAAAATGTAAAACCTGAATTCATTCATAGGCAAACAGCAGTCCACATGAAACCTAAATGGAGGAACATTCTAGAAAAATCCTAGCTAACACTCTAAAATTGTCACAATCATGAAAAGCAAATAAAGATGAAAAACAACTAACCGTAACATGTGCTCCTAGATTGGATTTTGGTCCAGAAAAAGGATATTAGTAGAAAAATCAGCAAAATTTGAACAAAGGCTATGTAATAGATCAGTAGTTCTTCAAGTATAGCATCTACAAGGTCAAAAGAATTTTCATAGAGTCAGTAAGATGTTAAAAAAGAAAGAGTACAATGAAACTACAGTATGTACTTCACCTGCACATACACACCTGTGTCATCATCACAAGTTTGCCTGCCTCGCTCTTAGGAAAGTGGCAGTTCCTGACCCTGGAGCCCAGGTGGTCTGACTCCAAAAGCATTAACCAGGAAGCACTTGATTCTTCAGGCCTTCAGTGCCACACAAATCCTCATTGGGTTCCATCGCCCTTTCCCTCTTTCTCTTTCTTTCTTTCTCCCTTTCCCTCTTTCTTTATTAATATTGTTCATGCATTTGTAAATAGTCCTTTTATGAACTCTTCTCTAATGACCCAGTTTGTAAGGGTCACTTGTTTCCTGCCAGAATTCTGATAAAACCACAAACTCATAATGCCAGTGACTATATAATCTGTGAGTAGAGAAACAATGTTCTCTTTCCCTGCCTACTGTGGCCACAGTGTTTTTACATGTTAGCCCATTTAATAGTCCCAACAAATCTTTTCAGATGACGAAACTAGATACAGAGGTTTCATTGGATGCTCTGCTAAAGATCTCCGAGCAGAGAGACCCTGGAGCCCAGGTGGTCTGACTCCAAAAGCATTAACCTGCTCTGGCAGCTCCAGGTTCCAGGAGCTCCAGGAAAAGACTTGGTAAGGAACTGAGAGGTAAGCGGGGATCAAGGCCATCTTGCTCACGAATCACCTGAGTTACCTGGGATATCTTTGCAAAATGGAGATTTTTGGAACTGTATGCCTTCCAATCAGCCTTTCTACCTGTATTTCGACCTCACCACGCTGGAAAGTAAGATTAATTCTTACTCTTAACACGTAAGTTAAGGTTACACGTAACCTTTTGGCCATCCAGGGCGACTGTTTTTCCCCTACAAACACTAGGGGGCCTCGCACAGCGGATCGCAACCAATAGGATAGTGCGAAGGGTTCAGTGGCAACTTCTCCCCCGCTCCCCCCGCCCCCCCACGCCTAGAGAGGCCAGGCCAGGGTCAGGAGCTCTCCGATCCGTCTTTCCCTTTCCCCGCGGGTGGGCATGGTTGCGAAGCTGATCCTGGAGCCCGCGGGCCGCAGCTGCTGGGACGAGCCGCTACACATAACCGTGCAAGGCCTGGCCCCCAGGCAGCAGGTCACGCTGCGCGCGTCCCTGCGCGACGAGAAGGGCGCGCTCTTCCGCGCCCACGCGCGCTACCGCGCGGACGCCAGGGGCGAGCTGGACCTGGCGCGCACGCCCGCGCTGGGCGGCAGCTTCGCGGGCCTGGAGCCCATGGGGCTGATCTGGGCCATGAAGCCTGATAAGCCATTAGGGCGCCTGGTGAAGCGGGACGTGCAGACGCCTTTCGTGGTGGAGCTGGAGGTGCTGGACGGCCACGAGCCCGACGCTGGGCGGCTGCTGGCTCGGGCGCTGCACGAGCGCCACTTCCTGCCGCCCGGGGTGCGGCGGGTGCGGGTGCGCGCGGGCCAGGTGCGGGCCACGCTCTTCCTGCCGCCAGGTGAGTCACCTGCTGCTCAGAACCTGGTCCAGTCGTTGGGACACGCGTGGTCCCCCAGTCCTCTTGCCTGGCCCTCGAACCACGTGATTGTGGTTAGGAACCACAATCCCTAAAGTTGTCCCCAAGTTTGTAGTGAGTTCTGATTTTTTTCAATTTTAAAAAATTTTTCGGAGCCTGGAGTGGTGGCGCACTCCTGTAATCCCAGCGGCTCCTGAGGCTGATGCAGGAGGATCACGAGTTCAAAGGCAGCCTCAGCCAAAGCGAGGTGCTAAGCAATTCAGTGAGACCCTGTCTCTAAATTAAAAAATACAAACTGGGGCTAGGGATGTGGCTCAGTGGTCGAGTATCCCTTAATTCAATCCCCCGTTAGGGGGAAATATTCAGTATTGGAGATTGAAATCAGAGGCACTCCAGAACTGAGCTATTACCCTCAACCCTTTTTATTTTTTATTTTAAGACAGTGTCTGGCTGTGGCCTGGAACTTGAGATCCTCTTGTCTCAGCCTCTGAGTAGCTGGGATATCTCTCCTCTCCCCCACCTCTCTCTCTCTCTCTCTCTCTCTCTCTCTCTCTCTCACACACACACACACACACACACACACACAAGGCACTGGGGATTGAACCCAAGGGCATGATAAACAAGCTCTTTCTGCCGCTTAAGTTACACCTCTCTATTCCCAAGGGTTCTGAATGAAAGCTTTTCTTGGTTTCCTGACACTCCCTGGAGGCACTATCAATCCCTTACTGTGTGCTAAAGAGTGCATTCAATTTAGAAATCAATTAGATGCCAGACTCTGGGTTTTTTGAATACTTATATTATCACTGCCTTCTGGAGTGTGCAAGGGTGACTTTTGCCTCCTTTCACATCATATTTCCAAAGGGGATAAAACCTGCCTCCCCTCCAAATAGAGAGTGCCCTCAAGTCATTTGAAACACAATATTCCCTGACAGTCGATTCCTATATTGTCAGTCATCCCCTTTCTTTAGGGACACTTGGCAATATCTGGAGACATTTTTGGTTGTCACACTGAAGGGGGAGATGCTACTGGTATGTAGCAGGTAGAGACCAGTAATGCTGCTAAATAACCCACAATACACACAGGACAGCCTCCAGAACAAAGAAGTATCTTGCTCAAAATGGCTATGGTACTGAGGTTGAGAAACCCTAGTCTAAGTAAAAAGAGGGTGCAGTGTATGTAGAAGGGACCTGAATGGTCCATTCCTTCCAATCAAATTCCTGACTTCAACTCTTAGTGTATAAAAGTGCTAGAGTTGCTGTAGTGCACAGTATTCCTAACCTGAATACTGTGATTATTCCCCAAAATAAGAGAATGTATTATGTTTTTTAACTCTTAAAAACTCTTTTTTTTTTTTTTTTAGCTTTTTTAGCTCTTGAGCAATCCCTAACCTTAAATATGAGTTGCTCACTACATGGTGAACTCCTAAGGCTGGAGTAGGGTCTTACACCTAGAAACTCAGTGAGACCTTGTCTCTAAATAGAATACAAAATAGGTCTGAGGGTGTGAGGTAATGCAAGAAGGTTTAGAGGTGAAATGGTTGGGTTATCAGCCTTAGTCAATGAGTTAATTAATCCCTTGATGGTATTCCCTGAGTGGTAACTGTAGGCAGGTAGAGTGTGGCTGGAGAAGGTGGGTCGCTGGGGTGTCTTTGGGGTATATATTTTGTCATTTTTGAGCAGAGTTCTCTCTCTGCTTCCTGGTGGGATAGCTTCAGCTGCTTCCCTTCACTATACTCCTCCACCATGGTGTTCAGCCTCACTTCAAGACTCAAGTAATGGAACCTGCTATCTATAGACTGAGACCTCTGAAACCGTGAGCCCCCAAATAAACTCAAAAATTGTTCTTGTCAGGTCTTTTAGTCAGAGCAATGGAAAAGCTGACTAAAATATATACATTTCCAAATTACTAGAGACTGGCACAAGAGTACAACAGGGATTCAACAAGAATCTTCTAAAGGCTTTCATTTAAAAGAAGGAAGAGCAATCATTCTTCACACCCAGTTGTAGTATCTGATATCCAGTCAAATCAATCTTGTGTGACCAGTTTAATATGTATTGGGAAGCAGTTCCTAACCAAATCAGACAATGGGCTTCATTGTATTCATAGTCTACTTGAGGATATACGCAATTACCCTTGCACCTATAATACAGCGTGGCAGGTGCTATGGCAGGGGAAGTACAGACCCAGCTTGCTGTTGGGTGCTGATAGCAGGCCCGCCCTGGCCCCTGGGGACTCAACCCCCAGTTCTTTGTTATGCATGTCAATGTGGCCAGCTCACAAGGCCATGACGCGGGCTTGCGGTTCCCTGTTTATCTGCCTGGAGCACATATGTGTTCGAGCCTCCTGATAGGGGACGGTGACATGACGGTAACCCAAGGACGCAGTTATTACTCTTCCCTCCTCACTTTTGAGTAATTTCCCGCAGCTGTTAAAAAGATATATAAAGGGAACAAATCTGGCAATAAAGCGCACACACGCTCCCTCCTGGATGAAGAACCTTGGTGTCCTGTGTATTTTTAACCCCGCCGTCCCTCGCCGGACTCGGCTCCGTTAGCCGGACGCGGCAGTTGGGAACAAATTAAAGACTATCAAAGCCAACTCAGCTTCTTGGGGATCTGGGAAGGCTTTCAAGAATGGAGACTTAAATTTAAGTTCAAGACTAAGGAGTCAATAAAATCAAAAAGTAAGGAGGAAGGGGCAAAAAGCCAATAAGTGTCCCATGTATTTTAATCTTTAAATCATTTTAGTCAATTTTAAATTTCCAATTGGGATAAATTGTGAATATTCACAGATATATACATATATACCTAGAGAGAGATCTAAATATATTTAATATTAATTATTGATATAATATACAGACATATACTTATTAGGAATATTTCCAAATGTGTATATTCAAATGAATCTTTTTTTGCATTGAACCTTTAGTAGTCTTTTTTTTTTTTTTGGTACTGGGGATTGAACTCAGGGGCACTTGACCACTGAGCTACATCCTCAGACCTATTTTGTATTCTATTAGAGACAAGGTCTCACTGAGTTGCTTAGCCTCTTGCTTTTCACTGAGGCTGGCTTTGAACTTGCAATCCTCTTGCAACAGCCTCTGGAGCTACTGGGATTACAGGCCTGCACCACTGTGCCTGGCTGGTAGTCTTATTTTGATCCTTTGAAGTTGTAAAGTTTTGCACATATCTTCTGTTCTGCCAGATATAATTCATTTTGAAAATTTGTTACTCTTGTTGATGTTTAAATTTACTCATTCACTTCTTTTATACCTTCTAATAAATAAAATAGTTTCTTCTTTTAAAAAAAGTGAGGAAGGAGAGAGAATAGTATTGTAGTTAAATGAAATCGCATATACCAATGTTCAGCTGCAAAAAACATGGCACATTTAGGGATGGCTCTCTTCAAGGCTAGAGCAGAGAATAGGAGGTAGAAAGTATATTCTAGTGATTTCCTGTAGATATAGAGCACTTTACTGCTCCATTCTCAAATAGATGACTGTAAGAAAAATTCAAAGAAAAGTTGCTAGAAAATGTATATCTCAGCTGGGTGTTGTGTTGCACTCTTGTATGTCTAGTGGCTCCTCAGGCTGAAGCAAAAGGATAATGAGTTCAAAGCCTGCCTCAGCAACTTAGCAAGGTCCTAAGCAACTCAGTGAGACTGTCTCTGAATGAAATATTTTAAAAAGGCTAGAGATGTGGCTCAGTTAAGCACCCCTGGGTTCAATCCCCTGTACCAAAAGGAAAAAAAAAAGGGGCTGGGGATGTGGCTCAAGCAGTAGCGCGCTCGCCTGGCATGCGTGCGGCCCGGGTTCGATCCTCAGCACCCCATACAAACAAAGAGGTTGTGTCCGCCAAAAAGAAAATAAATATTAAAAATTCTCTCTCTCTCTCTCCTCTCTCTCTTTAAAAAAAAGAAAAACAAAGCCAGGCATGATAGTATATGAGTGCTCCTGGTTCAATCCCTAGTACTGCAAAAAAAAAAAAAAAAAAAAAGGAAATGTATATCTCACCATATGTTATTTCTAACTTGGTTTATTTATATTATTATTATTGTGAAAATATGTGACAAAATTAGGAGAAAAGAAGGGATTTGTTCACCCTCCCTTCTCCCTGTAGCTTATTTTAAAAAAAAAAGAAGAAGTAAAATAAACCAGTCATGGTGACACACGCCTGTAATCTCAGCAATTTGGGAGGCTGAGGTAAAGGGATCGCAGTTGGAGGACAGCCTCAGCATTTTAGTGCCGCAGTCTGGCTGGGCACAAATCACTGAGCCACCACAAAGCACTTGTATGTTCAAACAGGAAACTTTATTGCCTGAACTCCAACAGCACTCCACGCACACTCCACGGGAACTCTCCCGAACGCCACCCACGCGACCCCTTTCCGGCACACCACATCAACTGGAACCCCCTCCACCAGACAAGGCAAACTCCCCAGGAAATCCCCAGGAGAACTCCAAAGTAGCGGGCGCCCTAGACAGCAGGGGTCTATATACAATTGAATCAATCCAGCATCATCTTAATGGCTCGCCTCTCAAACATTACTTCTGGCAAAAATGCCAGGGGCCATTCCGACTTGGCTGTGGCTCTCAACATTTTAGAGAAGGCTTAAGCAATTTAGTAAGACCCCAAGGAATAAAAAAAAGGGGGGGGGGCGCTGGGGATATAACTCAATGGTAAAGCTTCCTTAGATTCAATCCCCAGGACAAAAAAAAAGGGGGGGGGGTCCACTTTCACCAACCTCCCTAGCTTCAAAAACTTATTTGCTGATTGCAGAAATCTTAAACCAAGGATATCTTTTGAGAGACTAAACCTTCTTGTTATTTGACTTGTGGTGTTCTGTAGGTGAGGGGCCCTTCCCTGGGATCATCGATCTGTTTGGAAGTGGTGGTGGCCTTTGTGAATACAGAGCCAGCCTCCTGGCTGGGCATGGTTTTGCTGTGCTTGCTCTGGCTTACTTCAGATTTGAAGACCTCCCTGAATATTTGAGTGATATGCGCCTGGAGTACTTTGAAGAAGCTGTAGACTTTATGCTACAACATCCAAAGGTGAGTTCTGGTGCTTGCTGAATTCAGAGGAGAGGGGGTCAAGTGGACACAGGGCTGGATTCAAAAGCCCTACCAGGGCACTGGAACTAGAAATAAGCAGGAAGACACAGTGCTCCTTCAAAAGTTACTAGTAATATTCTTTCCATGTCCAACCATCTTTCTCCCATCTGTAAGACTTGACTGTTCAGTTTCTTTTGTAACCATTTACTATAATCCAAAAAGCAATAAAACAATACTAACTTTGAGTTTTGGTTCTGTATATACCACACAGCAGCCTAATCATCCTGAATAAGGCAATTGATCTCTCTAAAGTTTAATTTTTCTCATTTATAATATTAATGTAAATGTGTAGTGGGAAAAGTTTGAGTATACAGAGACATTTTTGAGATAATTGGTGACTTTTGAATAGAAATTGTGTATTTGATGATATTAAGGAATCATTAATGTTAAGTGTAATAATAGTATTATGGTTTGATAAAAGAAATCTTTGATAACAGAAAAAAAGTTAATTCAAACATTTTGGTATGATTATAAATAATGGAATGATACATACTCTTTGCTACCATCTAGATTTAAAGAGACCCAAACATTCTAATACTAAAGATAAAATGTTCTTCAAGGCCTGTGGGATAATCTAATCTTATTGGAGTTTAGGGACTGGTCTCTTAGCAAAGTTGCTAAAACCTAGATGACCTTAAACTGCGAAGGGTAGTTTATTTAGGGGAGATAAGGCCCTGAAAAAATAAGAACCCAACATATACTACCAATTCTGCCCTTAAACCTGAAGGAAAGACTTTCATTCTCCACCTTTTAGTTTAGATTATCATACTTTGGCCCTCCTTTGATTGGACCCCTGCCCATAGAATAAGGCGGCTGAGGGACCAAGGGATTGTGTCCACCTGGAACCCACATGCTCTCCACCATGCCCTTGGGATCTGGAAACCCAGATTCTCTGCCTAACAGCTCTGACCCTGCTTCCTGCTCTATGCTCCTTCTTTGGGTCCATCAGTATGTATACTGCACCTAGGCTTTAAACATGCATACTGGGTGTCTACACACAAATATGAGAGGTCCCTCAAGGTATATAAAGGAGCCTGGAGTGGGAAGAGAAGGAGGCTGGCCCAGAGGCTGGAGTCAGTGATTGACTTGTTTTCCATGCCATGTCCCAATACAGAATTCCAGCAAGCTCTAAGATTTTAAATTTGAACCTGACCTTATAAATTGTTATGGTGGTGTATTTATCAAGCTTGGGGAAAAGAATGATGCATTTATTTAACAGTTTGCTCATTTGACTTAGAGTATAAGGGCCTCTGTGTATATTCTTGACCCAGACTTCATACATATTAGGGGATGGCCTATATACTAGGAAATCAATTAATTTGTTTATTAGAAGACAACTTGAACTTCATAGATGTTGCATAAGAAAGGGAAGAAAATTGTATGTGAGAAAGCTACTTAGAGAATGTGAAATCATTGTTTTGGTCCTCCACTTAGGAATTCTAAACTTGTTTTCTCTTTATTTTCTTATCAGGTGAAAGGTCCCAATGTTGGGCTTCTTGGTTTCTCCAAAGGAGGTGACCTATGTCTCTCAATGGCTTCTTTCTTGAAGGGCATCACAGCCACTGTACTTATCAACGCCTGTGTGGCCAACACAATAGCTCCTCTGCATTACAAGGATATGATTATTCCTGATCTTGGCAATGAGCTAAGTAACAAAAAAATCACTGAGTCAGGCCTTTTGAATTTGGTAGACATCTGGAAAAATCCACTGGAGGAACACAACCATCGAAGTCTTATTCCACTGGAAAAGGCACAGGGACCCTTCCTGTTTATTGTTGGCCTGGATGATCATAACTGGAAAAGTGAATTCTATGCTCATATAGCCTCTGAAAGGTTACAAGCTCATGGAAAAAACAAACCCCAGATAATCTTCTATCCAAAAACTGGCCATTGTATTGACCCACCTTACTTTCCTCCTTCTACAGCCTCTGTGCATGCAATTTTGGGTGAAGCAGTATTCTACGGAGGTGAGCCTAGGGCTCATTCAAGGGCACAAGAAGATGCCTGGCAGCAAATTCAAATTTTTTTTCAAAAATATCTCAATGGTAAAAAATCTGTCCAGCACAGCAAAATATGACTTTGCAATCATAGACCAAATATCATTCATAAAAATATTAATTCTACAATTTCTGTTAGGCTTGCCAGAACACTTAGGAAACTTTTTATCACAAAAGCAAACAGCTTCCTTGTCAGGTCCTGCTGGACTCAGCCTTTTCAACCCTCCTTCCTTCGCTGCTGGACCCATTCCTCTCTCCCCGAACTTTACCCAATGTATAGATTTAAACCTGATCTTATCTGTATAGGATTAATCTTCTTTTAGGCAAAAGAAATGTAAGAAGTGCTTGCCTGACTCTCAGTTGCTGGTCTACCTTTAGCCTTGTGTCTAGTTCTGAGGATGAGTTTCCGTATTGTTCTGAAATCTCATTTCTCCTTTGGGCCCTAATTGATCTAGTCTGAGCTTTGGAAACTTTCCCACTCAGGTCCCAAAAATATGGCTTCTGCCACATTTTTGCCATTATGCATTCCTGAAAATTTACTCAAGCCTTGTCCCCAACCGCTAGACTGATGACTGGGGGCATGTCCCTGTTGATATACTTCCTTTATGTTTACCATCTGTATGGATTCCCAGTCACTATATGGTCCCTGCCTGTCAGGAGGAATGCCCTTGATGCTAAGATTTCAGGACTCTACCTTGTGCGGGCCATGGCCTTCATCTTTGGATGTCATGTATACCTGCCAAATCAGACTTCCTCCCAGCACCATCTTGCTCCTGTTACTTTCCATGAGGGAAGGACTAGAATGGATCTGCTTCAACCCACTGCAGCTGAAGCACAATCTAGAGTCCGGAGATACCAGAGCAGAGGTCTTCCCTGAGCACAAGAAATTTTTTTCTGAGACGTCAGAGAAAACCTGAAGCTTTCTTCACATAAAATCATGGTTTCCTGGGACTGAGGTTTGGCTTAGTGGTAAAGCACTCACCTAGCACGTGCAAGACACTGGGTTTGATCCTCAGCACCACATAAAAATAAATAAGTAAAATAAAGATTTGGTGTCCAACTACAACTAAACAAATATTTTTAAAGATCATGGTTTCCTGGGTACATACAAAATCTTTCACCAAATTGAGTCTATCCAAGCAAATGCCCATTTGGTCCTAATGAATGAAATGAAAGGTTCCAAAGAGGTAACTTGATTTTGACTAACTGTTAAAACTCTGGAGTGCAGTCATTCACCATATAGTATAATTTTCTATGATTTTAGCCCACAGCCAGCACAGGCTTCATAAATGAAGGTTCAGCTACGTGAGAAATCCAAAAGGGAGTTTGAATTAAAGAGACAGACTCTAATTACCTTTAAACCAGCTCCAGGACGGCTTCTCCTACCTCCAGCCTCAAGCTACCTATTAGGGTAGCTAGGTTTACTGAAGAGGCCAGTGAGAGAGAGAGAGAACACGACAGGGAGTGGACTTTTATTGGGGAACAAAAAATTCTGGGGAAAATCCCATCCAATGAAGATGGGGGGGGCAGTGTCCCAAGGTCAGATGCAACAATTGGGTCTTCAGGGGTTGTGGCCAGACATAATTCCACACGGACAAGCCTTCAGACCTGAGAAGGGTGGGGAAAGCTCTGGACACAAAGATGTGTCTAAGCGTCTCTTGCCCAGCCAGGAGGTAACTCAAATCACGTGCGAGGATGGCCTCCCACCATGAAGAGACTTCTGAGAGTCTCAACTTTAACTCACTCCCTGGTATACCTTCCACTCTAAAGATGGGTTGGGAAAGCCAACTAATTACACAAATTTTACAACATCCATAAAATAAAAGCAAAGCTTAGAAATCAATTTCTCCCAAAGATAATCGCACGAAGACATATTAAGTGATGTAAAAGTTAGTATCACTGGGGATGCCTCTACAAGAGAGAGAGATCAGGCTCCACCACTTATTACTAACCTGTAAGTTGTTAAAACTGTCTAGACCTCCATTTCCTCAACTATGAAGTAGGGGGGAAAATAAAGTAGGTATAATAAAAAGCACTTCACCGCACTGTTATGAATAAATTAGACAACCCACATAAGGCACTTGATATAATTCAACTGTCAGCTGTTAGCTATTATTTCTTCAGGTGGGGAGATTGGAATCTGGGAGGATTAAGAATCACATCTAGTTGGTGGGAGAGTTGAGTCAGCCCAACTCTGTACTCGAATGCAAATAATTTTTACTTGAAGCTCAGTGGCTCAAAGTAGTTGACACCTAAAAGGAATTCAAGTGGAGACACTTTTTAAAGAGGAAAACAATAAACAGCAAATCAGAAAACATAACACAGTTGAGCCCAGCATGGTGGTGCACACCTGTAATCCCAGCAACTCAGGAGGCTAAGGCCAGGGAATCACAAGTTTGAGGCCAGCCTTGGCAACTTAGTGTGATCCTGTCTCAAAGTAAAATTAAAAAGAAAAGCTGGGAATGTAGCCCAGAGGTAAACTCTCCTGAGTTAAATTCCCAGTACAGAAGGATGGGGAGAATGGGAGAAGGGGAGGAAGAAAAGGAAAATATAGCCAAGTTTAGAGTAGAATGGTGATTACTAGAGGCTGGAGAGTGGGGGCAGGGGGAGGTTGATCAATGGGTACTAGGTTACAGTTAGAAGTAAGAAGAGTGTATCAAAACACAGGAGGGTGACTATAGATGATGATAAGCTACTATATGTTTTAAAAAGCTAGAAGGAAGGATTTGGGATGTCTTTACCATAAAATATGAATAAATGTTTGAGGAGACCTGACATAAACACTACATAATGTATACACGTATCAAAACATCACATGGTACCCCATAAGTATATATAACTTTTATGGTCTTAGGTGTCACTTAAAAATATTTTTGCAGGCTGAGGTTGTTGCTCAGTGGTAGAGCACTCACCTAGCATATGAAAAGCCCTGGGTTCAATCCTCAGCACCATATAAAAATGAACAAATAAAATATTGTGTCCAACTACAACTAAAAATAAATAAATAAAATATTTTGCAAGCCTATTATGTATTTCAGGCAATTTAAAACAAAAAAAAAATACTTATTTATTCCAAATTTATCACAACTAAGCTATTTTATACACTTATTTAATTAAATTATTTAATTTATTTATTTAGGGTACCAGGGATTGAACTCAGGGACACTTAACCACTGAGCCACATCATGTGCCCTGTGGGAAGCCATTCTCACACGTGATTGGGCACCTCCCGGATTGGGTGTGAGGCGCTCTGGCTAAACTGTGTCGGAGCTTTCCCCACCCTCTCCTGGTGCGAGAGCCTGTCCGTGTGGGGGTGTGACTGACCACTGACCCTGAGGCCAATCACTGACCCTGACCTTGGAGTGCTGCCCCCCTCGACCTTCATTGGATGGAATTCTCCCCTGAATTTCTTGTTCCCCAATAAAAAGCCACTCCCTGGCGTGCTCTGCCTCTCTCTCTCCTGCTAGCCCTGAGTAATCCTTGCTGCCCTACCGGGTGGTTCGAAGTGTGAGCCAGAAAGGTGAGAGCCGTCTCGGACCTGGTCATAAGAAAAAGGTAATTGAGTCTGTGTGTTTTATTTTGATCTCACTAGCTAACTTTTATGCCAAGAACCTCTTTAATGAAACCAGTGCGCTGGTCTCATGGTGGAAACGCCCTATTTTGTATTTTATTAGAGACAGGGTCTCACTGAGTTGCTGAGGGCCTTGCCATTGCTGAGGCTAGCTCTGAACTCTTGATCCTTCTGTCTCAGCCTTCCAAGCTGCTGGGAGTACACAGGCATGTGCCACTGTGCCCCACTACACTCATTTTGAATGACCTTTGAACTCTGAGAAAATCAAAGCTCGTGGAAGACATTATATTTTTGTAGGTGTTAAAATGCAGGTATGTACAAATTCCAATATTCATGGCCAGTGTAATGATGGGTTTGGAGGCAAAAGTAAAATATTTGAGTAGTTTTTCCATGCATATATGGCTAAAGGACCACACAGACAAGGACTTTAACAAGTACTTTCCAAAGAAAACAGAATTGTTAGATTACTCTGTGTTGCAATGGGCAAAGGAGCAACATATGCAGTTGAGGGGAGAAAAAAAGAATGTCCATGCGCTATGCCTTTTTCAATGCTTTGTTCACTCAAAATCAATACAATTTCACCCTATAGGTTCTTAATCAAGAAATGACAATCCTTAATGCTGGGCACTTCAAACCCAATAATTCAGGCTGAGAAAAGCAATAAACACAATTTAATTCCAAGCAAACAAATTCTAAGTTAACTCTAAGCACTGCAAACACTCTTAATCATGACGGACCTATTACAGACATTCCCTCTGCATGCTAAGCTTAAGTGCTAGATTTAAACTCTTAAGTCTTAGGTCTTAAGTCCAGAAGATGCACACTCACTCAGACCACTATGATCGGGTCAGGAACTGACAGAGGCTTCTCCTGGTGTGGAGTTGACAGCTGGCTGAGGAGACGGTTGGTCCTAAGGAGAAGTTGCCTTTTTCACCAGGGTCAAGAGACTGCTGTAGAGTTTGAAAGCAGTGAGGACCATGCAGAGGATCAGGCAGATGATGAAAAGAGTTGGGATGTCAGTCTAGGTTCTCATCAGGCTTTCAGGGTATGTGCATCAGCATCGGCTGGCTTGAATGTCTGTTCATTTGCTCCATTATTTATACTAAATTTTTGGGCTTCTACATGCCTTTTTGGTCCCTATCAGCTGTTATCAGGTTTCTTACATCAGGGCCTATGGTCTGGTGGTTTCCACCCTGATATTACCCTTCTGACTCTTATCAGGGTTAAGGCAAATGACATGTTTATATCAAGTGACTTCACTCTGACTCTTATCAGGGATGTGGAAAGTGACTTGCTTTTATCAGGCTATGCCTTATGACATATTAAAGGGCTCTGTGGGCTTGTGCATGGTGAGACTGCAGGTTTATTTTAAAATGGAGTTCCTTAGGCTAAGGCCATCCTTCCACTCTGAACCAGAAAGTCTTGGTGCAATCCCATATGCTCTCAGTATTGATTAGATTCAGAAATTAGGATGCATAACAATTATTATTTATAGTAATGAAATAAAACATTTGAAAATGTGATTGTTCCCCAAAACTCAAGATTTATATATACACCATTTTCCTTGACAAGCAGTTTAATTGAATGTGTTCACCTGGATTATTTAACCTCATTTTACCCATGCATATGAATTAAGGTGGAATTCTATAGTAGAAATTAAATTTTAATTTAGGCTTAATGCTACATTCTTCACCATAAGAGATTCAAGTAATACAGACAAAATAAGATTCTTTTATCTCAATAAAAGAATACCAGTCTTCTCCCAAGTTTATTACTGTTACAAATTGAAGTGTACCCTTTCAGAACTTTTTTTAAATTCATATACACACAAATATATGAATGGATGAGAAAATACGGTTTTATTTCATGGGTTCAAAGCCACAACCACAAAAAAGCCAAATATAAAAGGTATATGCTGTATTATTTTTTCTGCATACAAAAATATACATTAATACTTGTGCCAGACCACAGGAGAACAGAGTTTATTTCTTTTTTTTTTCTTTTTTAAATACATGACAGCGGAATGCATCACAATTCTTATTACACATATAGAACAATTTTTTATGTCTCTGTTTGAATATAAAGTATGCTCACACCAATTCATGTCTTTATACATGTACTTTGAGAGTTTATTTCTTTATACCTCTTATTCTACTTTCTCAATGAAATAGCAAAATTTGTCTTTTTATCCTTATCCCCTCCCTTGTCCCTTCCATCCCAACTGGGCTACTTTTAGGGTTTTCTGGCATTCAAGTCGGGACAATTTTCTGTGCTAGTTTCTGCTCTCACCCCCTGCCATATTATAGTTCAATCCAGTGTCTCATCTGAAACATTTAAACTTTAACCGCGGCAGTCTGGGTCAAAGATTTGAATTTGGCAGGTACCTAGCACACGTGGCTTCCTTCTAGCAGGTTTAGGAAATAGTGCCCCTTGGTGGCCGGTGAGAGATTTTAGAGACGGCGACCAGCTGACATT